TTCCTTTCCTCTTTCTTCTTTCTCCCTTCTTTCTGTCTCTTCCCTCTATATTCTCTTCCCTCTCTCTTCTCTCTTCCCTCCCTCTTCCCTCTATGAAGCTTTATTTATTGTCACCAGGCTTAGAATTTTTAGAAAATCTGGTATTTAGCATAAAAAAAAATGTTTATGATTATTAACTATATTAATATGCACTGCATCCTGCCATATACCCCCTGCCCCATTTTGATTTTTTGACTTACCGGCACTCCAGCGTCATATAAGGTAGACATTGTGGGTCTATGTCAGGGGTAAATCTTGCCTACCCCTGACACAGACCATGTAACAGAGTGTAACTTCCCGTTCCAAGGCCATACTATCCGCTCCCAAGAGAAGTACTTCCGAGGGCAAAAGGATGGACTTCCAGTGGCAAAGGGTAAGAGTTAGGGGACGGGACTTCCAGACACAAGATGGCGACCAGGGGGCGAGGCAACTGTAAAGGGGCAGGGCTACCCATACAGCCCTTGACAGCTCACCAAAATTCATGAAGTGGCCCTCCAGCTGAAATAATTGCCTGCCTCTGCCTCATACCAAACAGGAGCCATGGATTCCTCTTTGGGTCCCAGGGCAAATTGTCCCCTCCCATCAGGGGCTTCCCCTCAACCCCTACCTCCCCACACAGTGGGGAGGGTCCCTCCTCCCTTGTGGGAATCCCCTTCCTGGGTGACACACAACTCCACGGGCTTCAAGGGCTGGGCTTGTCTGCAGCGGTGTTGGGGCAAGGCATTCTCTCCATCTGCAGGAGGGCCTCAGCTGCCTCATGGAGCTCTTCTGACCTGTCAGCCCACTCTACAGCCCTGTGTACCGCCCCATGCACCAATGGCCCTGTTCCTGCCTTGTGCAGGGTTGGGGACCCATGCTGCCTCATGCAGCTACCCATGGTCCTGTCTGCTCTATGGCCCTGTGTACCACCCCGTGCACCAATTGCCCTGTTCCTGCTCCATGCAGGGTTAGGGACCCATGCTGCCTCATACAGCTGCCTGCGGTCCCATCGGCTCTATGGCCTTGTGCAGCGTCCCATGCACCAATGGCCTGTTCCTGCTTCGTGCAGGGTTGGAGGCCTGCACTGCCTTGTGCAGTTGCTGTGGCCCCTTCAGTCCTATCAGCCCTGTGCACCCTTTGGGCACAGAATGGGGTTCAGCTCCTGCCTCACACAGGGGGTTGGAGACCCGCACTGCCTTGTGCAGTGGCTGAGGTCCCGTTTGCTCCTGGACTTCAGAGGTACCTCCTACAGAGGTACACTGACCTATGCACTGCTGCCCCTGCCTCCTGCAAAGGGTTGGAGACCCATGCTTCCTCATGCAGCAGTTGTGGTCCTGTCTGCTTCCGGACCCTCCATGCACCGAACTGTACACCGCTGCCCCTGCCTCATGCAGGGGGTTGGAGACCTGTGCTACTTTGTGCAGCAGCTGTGGTCCCATCTGCTCCTGGACCCTCCATGCACTGACTTGTGCATTACCGCTCCTGCCTTGTGCAGGGGGTTGGAGACCCGCACTGCCTCATGCAGCGGCTGTGGTCCTGTCCAATCCCGTATCCTCTGTGCACCAACCTGTGCACCATTGCCACAGCTCTCGCTCCATAGCAGGCTTGAGATGCAGCTGCTTGCTCATTCCTGCCCAACAAATATGTCTTCTGGGTGCTTCTGGGCAACTGCTCTGCTCCGCTGGTCAACTACACCAGCTCTTTGTCAGCCCTCTTTGTTGTTCCAAGTAAAAGCCACCCGTGTGCTGGGCATGCTACCTTTTTATTCCTTCAGAAGGCTCTGCCTCCAGATTGGGAGCGGACCAATAGGAAAGTCTGAGGGGTTAGCTCCCTCTCAGGTCCTCCTCTTCACCTTGCCCTTAAGTTAGGGTGGGGCAAACCTCTCTCCTTCCCTTTACTGATTGGTGGGGAAGGAAAATGCCCCCACCAATCACTCTGAGCCTTCTGGCTCAAGTCGGTGAGCTGGACTGCTACCAGCAAGCCCACCACACTTAGTTCCATCAAAAATGATGGTTTTGAAGCTCAAACCTTCCTCCAGGCACCAACCCCAAGTCTGATGGGTAGTTGTTTCCTGTGGCATGCAGACTAAAGCAGAGAAGTACAATTCTTGCTGTTCCCAAACTTGCCCTGCCAATGTAGGTCAGGATCTCCTAGAGAGCTTAGCACCCATCTACCAATGGTGTCTGCTAGAGGACTGCATGGATGAGGCTGGAGTGTTTTTTCCAACCCACTGCTAGAGGACTGCATGGATGAGGCTGGAGGGTTTTTTCCAAACAAGATTTGCTTGATGCTACCACTTTGAGAAGAATCAGCGATAAGATATTAAATCTATGTTAGGAAAAAGAAGAGCATCCTGTCTGTAGCTCAGGACTGCAGTAGAACAACGAATTTATTCTCTGCACTTCACTTTTTACTAATGCTATTTTGGTATTTATCTATCTTTCTGCTTCATCCATTTACAAGCCCCAGGCCACTGGCAACAAGTAGATGGTAAATGGAGTTTTAAAATTAAAACATAGACACTGTAGGCTTTTAGCATTAAAAGACCAAAGGTTCACTTAGTTCATCCCCTTTCTTCCATTAAGTAACAACTCCATTCTCAGCAGGTATGTCCAATGACATTATTCTCCCATAAATAAATCCACAGCAGACTTCAATTCACTAACACCGTCATCTCCCAGTGGCAGAGAACAGGTGCCAGAAGCTTCAAGCATCTAAAGGTGATATCCCTATGGAAGCAAACATCCATTTTAAAATTAAATGTTTGGTATTTGTGAAATTAAATGGAATAGAAGGAAATGAGCTCTCTATGTCCAGGAATAAATGGCAAGTTCTTAATATGCTTTCTGTTTACAGAGAGAAGTAGAGTGGTCAAACTGCCGTACTGGAAGATAAGACCTCCTGTGTGCTAGCTGTGGCTCTGCTATTGATTGGTTGCATGGTCTTGACCTTTCAGATTGAAATAGGATCAGGAATGGGAAACGGGACCAGAAATGACCGCGTTTATTTGGACAAAATTTTCTTATAAATAATTGGCCAGTTTCAGAAAACTCAACCCATTTTTGGAGGGTTTGTTTTATTAAACATTAACAACATTTCTTTATAAAGGTAAGTGAATTTTTAACAATGGATTGTTGCTATTGTTGCTGTTATTTTGCTAAATGGTTTGATGGAAAACTTGTTATAAATTTGAAACAATGAAAAATGGGTCCATTTTAGACTCTTTGAAATGGCAACAGCATACACATTTCGCAACTCCTTCATTTTCATTTTGTGTATATATTTTGACCAACTCCATTAAGAGTACTTATCTCTCTTGGAGGAGTATTATGAAGATTAGCTAATTGCTCACCTGCAATAATGAAACAGTTTTAGAAGGGATTCATCTGGCTCATTTTTAGGTAAAACACTTTGCAGATATAAATTTGCTGGATAAGTGCTAGGTATTGCTGTAATATAAAACATCTGTGCATATCTGTATAGGAGGGACTAAGATGCTGTGTAAAATAAAGGACTTCTAAAGTGAAAAAAGTGTTGCTTTGAATGGATGTCATAAAATAAAACCCAAATACGGGAGAGCAAGTTGATACATACTACCTTCCCTCACAGACTTGTCACTTAGGCTGAATAGATAATGAGAGACATACCTTATTTACTTGATTCTAAGACAAGGCTCTTTTCCTGTTTCAACATGGGAGGGAAAAAGCTCCTCATCTTACAACTGCATACAAGGGTAGTGGGAGCAGGCGAAGGGGGCACAGACTGCTGCAGTGGCTCAGGCTCCAGCCCCTACCCAATGGTCCAGCCACTTGTGCTGGCAGGCTCCATGCATGCTGCAGCCTGGGACAAGCATGGCCACAGCCTGGCCCCATAGCAGCAGCACACAACTTACACAGATGCTATGGAGGCAGGTTGGAGCTGTGCTCAGTGCCCCACACTAAAACAGGGATGAAGACTGCTATGCAAAGCAAGGGTAAGAGGAAGGGTGGGGAAGAGGGAAAGCAAAGGCTGCAGGGAGAAAGAGACTAAAGCAAAGGCATGGGGAAGCGGGGAGCAATGGCTTTGGGGGGACACCAAGTTTGCAGGGGGTAGGCACAAGCAGGGGGCAAACTGTGTGACTTCCCCACAGCACCTGCCTCCCTGCAGCGGTGGAAAGGATGAATTAGAGATGACCTTCCAATAATTAAGATCCATACATGAAAAAGCAGGAAAAATATACATTTTCCATATATATAGTCTAATTATTGGGGGATCACCTTAGATTCTGGGTCATATTCAAATTAGATTTGAGTAAATATGATAGTCATTAGGGCTGTGTGAAGCTTCAGTAGCCAATTCAATTTGGAGATTTGGCTCGATTAGGCAGCCAAATCTCTGAATCAGAATCAACTTGAGAGACCCATTAAAAGCTCTGAATTGAATCAAAGCCTCTGAATCGATTCAGAAAAGATTCCGAGATTCGGAAGGCAGACATTCAGGAAACCGAAACTGAGAAGAGGGAGGGAAGGAGGGGGTGGAAAGACTGCTTTGATATTGACATCTGTAGGTGGCCAGTGACTGTGATCTTTCTCTGAGCTCCCTTCCAATCACAGTGCTCTGGGGGAGGGACATAGAAACAACATATAAGGCTGTGTGTGAACTCATCTGTGTGCCTTTTGTGAGCTGTCTGTCTGCCCCTCTGCTGCAGCAGCAGTGTCTGAAGGGTTCTAGCTTGGTAGTAGGTAGTCTCTTGCCACCAACTTCTATCCAATCCTTTCCTATTTATTCTTGTCTACAATCCCTATTGTTATCCATTCCTTTCAGCTTATTCCTCCCCCAAAATCCTTATTTGTTCTCGTTAGCCTTTAATTTTTTCCTCCAACAAAAAGAAATCTGTGTTTTCCCGGACAGTGTGTCATCACAGTGCAGGAAAGCACAACATATATTACATATATTACACACAGACACACGCACATTTTGCAGCACACTAAACATCATCAAGTGTGCTGGAAAGGTAGGTGCCAGGTCTTCTGGCTGGGGAGGGAGAGGGGGCAGAGGGAGAGCTGCAGGTTCCACTCCCCCCTCTCCCCACACGCACACACACACATCCTCTTGCATGTCAGTGAGGAGTCTTCTGCTGCTAATGGGAGCAAAGAAGTAGGAGGTGTGTCTGCATCTGCAGCACCACCTGTAACACCAGTAACCACAACCAGCAGCAGCATGACATCCTCCACTCCAACTTCAGTTGCCAGTGTGAGCCATCCAGTGCCAGAGGAGGAGCTGGATCTGGAAGCAGGGGACCTGAGTGCCTGTCACAGGGCACTAAGGTGCCTGCTCCTCTTAGAGCAGAGGTTGCCCGGGAGGGAACACAAAGAGCCAGATAAGAGTCCAGGTGCAGGTTGCCATAACAACTGGCTAATGAGGGAAGGTCAGCTGGCAAGAAGAGGCAGGGCCCTACGCCCATATAAACCCTAGGGCTGGACCAGGCAGTTCAGTTCCCTGCCGGCAGCCAAACGGGAAGGAGCCTTCAGGAAGGAAGGGCTCAGAGACGCTACAGCCATTGGATACACTACCCTTAGGGCTAATGGGGCACCAGAAGCCCATAAGATACCCTCGCCTACAGGCACCCAGTATTAGAAAGGAGTTTTACTCTTTTAAAGGGGCAGAGCATGCCTTGTACTTTGTTACGTTATAGCCCAGGGGCTTACGTTTGATTGCTGTTTGTTTGCTGTTTGTTTGTTTGCTGTCTGATAACACCGATGGTTTGGGCGAGGCTATTTGGGGAAGGAAAAGGCCTCATTGGGGGGCCCACTATAGCGTGGGGACCCTGGCACCAGAGAGGGCAATGGCATTTGGACTGCAGAGATCCCAGCACTGAGGGGGGCAGCAACAGGGGTTGCGGAGAGCCCAGAACCGAAGGGCGCAGCAACAGGGGCTGCGGAGAGCCCAGTGAGGACAAGGGGTCAAATTAGAACAAGGCCTAGGCAAGATAACGCCAGTACCATCTGCAAGGCTTGGGGTGTGGTAAAGGGGCAGTTGGAGCCATGCATATAGCCCATAAGGCTGAGAGACTCAGGAACCATATACCATAATGTGGTACACCAAGGGGTCTACGAACCACAGAGTTTAGTAAGATCTAGCCAGACCATGTCTGAACCCAACGATCACGGGCAACCTCCCTATACCAATTATACCAACAAGACAGGCGAGATAGAGGGTGCCTGTAAGGCAAGACTGGCAAGGTTAAGGAACCTAGGGGTAACACAGCCACTCTTAGGGACCCCACCCTGCTACAGTGCCATAGCCTAGGAAATTCTGGGGAAGAAGGGGGAATCTCAGTTTGTGCTCCACACCCACCAAAGTTCCCCTAGGGGCAGGTTTCCTTCTCCGGAAGGCACCTCAGAGGAGGCTGCAGGGACACGTCTCGGCTTCTCCTGTTGTGCCTCTGCCTGCTGAGGAGGGGGATAAGGCAGGATCCCCACAACCTAGAAGTGGGTGGATAGTGTAGTGTGGGATCATTTTGAGGAGGCAGATGATCCCAGGTATGCTACCTGCCAGCACTGCCAAAAGCAGATCAGCCGGGGCAAAGACAAGAAACATTTCACCACCACAGTGATGCTGCTACATCTCAGCAGGCAGCACCACCATGCCCTTATTCCTCCTCAGCTTGGCACCAGTGGGTGTGCGCCCAAAAAGAAGTCCCCCTCTTGCTCCAAACTCCCCTTCCCCAAGAAGCAGAGGCAGGCCACCCTGGACCAGTAGGGGAAAGGCAGGGACAAAGAGGGGAATGTTTCCAAGGTGAGCAAGGTCACCCAAAACATTGGGGAGATGATTGCTCTGGATGACCAGCCCTTCTTTGTTGAGCATCCAGCATTCAGGCAGCTCATGGCACTTGTGGCTCCATCCTACCAAGTGCCTGCATGCTCCACCTTTAGCAGGACGGTGGTGCCCTCTTTGTATGAGGCATGCAGGGAGGACTTGAGGAAGGAGCTGCATAAGGCAGGGCTGCAGGTATCTTTGCACTTCACCTCCGACATTTGGAGCAGCTGGGGAAGAGATTATGCCTACCTCTCCCTCACAGGGCGTTGGTGCAATCATTCAGGTCATCCATGGGCTCTCCTTTAAGCCAAGGTGATGGATGAGTCCTACACAGCAAGGGAGATCCTGGTAACCATGAACCACATGGTGCAGGGGCAGCTCTTTGGGCAGGCCAAGCTCACCCATGGATTCATGGACATCGACAACGGGGCCAATATGGTCAAGGCGGTGTGTGATGCCAACTTTGTTGGCATCCGCTGTGTGGCACACAAGTTCCACCTCATAATGAGGGATGCCTTGGAGGGGGACAGGGTTCCCGGTGATGGTGCCATCACTACCACTACCAGCCAGCTCATTTCAAAAGGCAGGAAAGTGGCAGGCTACTTCTACTGCAGCATCAAGGACGGCAAGATTCTGTGGGACAAACAGGCAGTGCTGAGCATCCCGCAGCACAAAATTATGCAGGATGTGGAAACTCAGTGGAACTCCACATACCTGATGCTTGAAAGGCTGGTCACACAACAGAAGGCCATCCATGAGATGACCTTGCTCGAGGAGATTGAGATTAGTCGCCCCCTTAACAAAATTGAATGTAATACTAATCTCCAAGATCTTGGTGGTCCTCAAACTGTTCCTCGAGCACTGGTGATGGCCTCCTTAGCCAGATGATCCCCATAGCAAAGGAGCTTGAGAATCAAATGGAGAAGTTCCAGGGGGTCAATGTTCCTGGCTGGGGCAAGCCACTTTCACCCGAGGTGCAGGCACTGGTGAAGTGGCTGAAGGAGGGCATCAAAAAATGGCTAAATCTGTTGTGGTCCAGTACAGTCCACGTGCTGGCAGGCATGTGCAACCCAAGGGTAAAGGGGAACATCTGCAGCAGCAAAACCCTCAAACACTGGATGGAGGTGCTGGTGAGCAGAGTCAGGGAAGCAAAATGGCAGAGGTGGAGGGATGTGGAAGAGGGGGATCCACTGTCCTGTGCCAGCACTCTGAGCACCAGCCAATCTCCTCCACTACAGCCACTGCCAATGTGAGCCAAGGGCATGGCTTCATTGTTGGGGTCCAGAGGTACCAGATCCCACCATACAGCAGGTAGCACTGAGGCCTCAGTGGCTACCTATCTCACTGAGGATTTGGAGCTACTGCAATGTGACCCCTTAGGCTATTGGGCAACCCGCAGCCAGATGTGGCAGGATCTGGCCATGATTGCCCAGGAACACCTGTCCTGTTCACCAACCATTGTTCCAAGTGAGAGGGTGTTCAGCATTGCTGGGGATGTTGTGACAGTCCACTGTACCTCCTTGGATCCTGCTTTGGTGGAGCAGCTGGTGTTCCTGAAGGTGAACCTCCCACTGCTGGGGTTCTCCAAGATCTACCTGCAGATGGAGTGAGTGCCACCCTCTTCACTCTGCACCTTTTTAGTTGTTTCACAACCATGTAATGCCCTGCTCTCAGAGCTGAAGGAGGCAGTTTAGCTTTCACCACCTAGCAGGGGAAGAACATCTCCCTGCTGAGCTCCCGTGCCAAGATGAACTTGAAGGTATGGGCTGGGGCTATGGGGCTGGAGGAGGCCCCAGGTCCTGGGTATGACCTAAAACTGGACCCTGCCAGGGTAGGGAGGCCTAGTGGGACTGCCTGTGGTGCAGCAGCCTCAGGAAATGCCAGGACTGTGAATCTCCCTGGTGAAAGGCAGGTAGGAAGCACCTGATAACCTCCAGTTACTGCACGCACGCACACTCCTAGCTGGGGAAAGCCCAAACCTGTAAGATCTTTGAGAGGCCTGAGGCTTACTGGTTGCAATGGAGCTGTGAGGGTGAGAACAGGAAGGCGGCTCAGATCTGACCTGAGGTACTCTCGACTGGTTCATGCTGGGGCCAGGACCTAAATGGGCTCTTTCTGGCCCCTCAGGCGCCACCGTCTCTTTTCAGATTGACAACTTGTCGTCCGGGCAAATAACTTGAAAGGCCCCGAGGGATTCTTGCCTGCCATATCTTGGTATTGGTTATTGTTGGGAGGATGTTTTTAAGTCCTGCTTTCCCTGGTTCCCTGCTTCAGCACTCTAGTCCGGCCCCCCATCTCAGGGCTCTGCCTTCCCTACCCCCTGCCTTGAGCCAACCAAAGATGTTGTTTCTTGGCCACAGCTGAGATAAAGTCCGCTTCCTATGGTAAAGCTTTAGCCCTTATAGGTTCAAAGTCCAGTTTGGACAGTGTACCATATGACTGCAGGCCTCACATCAGCCTGACTTTTATATTTCTATTTGCCCCTGGTTGCCTTGCTCCCAGATGTGCTCCCTTTTCTCCCAGTTTTGACTCACAGCATCTGATGGCTTCTCTTCTCTCTTTCTCCCCAGGCTCGCCACTGTTTCATTCCATACCACCTACATCTGGGATCCACAGTCCTGTCCCAGGTAAGAGTTGAGGCTCTGCCAAGCCAGCACTCTCTGGGCATGCCCCGTCCTGGGGCCGCTGATCACTCCCGGCCACATTGGGCCTTCCAGAGGACCCACTTCCAGTCCTTGCCCACTGTTGTCCGGCAGGATTTTCATTCATCCTCTGAGGGCCAGGTGGTGAACCAGCATAGGCACACTGCCATAAAGCGTGCTCATGCTGGTGTGCGTGCATACACTGGTTCTCCCACAAACCGCTGCAGATGCTTCAGCTTTTCTTCTTCTGGTCTCAGTGTGGCCCATCCTCCTGTGGCCGTCTCTCTCCTGCCACACTTCTGGCCCTCAGTGATGTCCCACTTACTCCATACCTCTATCTGCTCCCGCCTGCAAGGTAAGGTTTGTGTTTGTGGTGGTGTCCCTGCCACATGGGGGTACTGGAGATATGGTAGCAGGTTTTGCATTTCTTGTGATGGTATGGTCTGGATCCATTTGGTGCGTTTTGGGCTGTAGGAGGCTGGCCTCTGGTGATGAGGTTAGTGAGGTTCGTTGCTTGTTTGAATTCACAAAACACTTCATAGATGAGCCTATGAACTTCACTTCATCAAACTCCTTGATACAAAAATTCATGGATTCAGTATAGACATTGGAATCATGACACACTATAACCTGCTTGACATCTGACTCTCCAGGTACCTCTCTGCTTTTACCTGCTACATCCCCTCCACCCCAGCCTGTGTCTCACCCCCTGACACCTCAATTTACATCTTCACTGACTGGCTTCCTTGCCTGGACCCCAGCCACTGGCTTCTTTACTATTCCTTCCATCCAGGAA